TAACTAGGACTATTCCTAACTTTCCAACCCAAAAAGAGGAGAGTTTCATCAGTTTTTTAAAAAAGAGCTCCAAGAAAGACGGACACCCAAAAAAGAGGACACCTGGAACCCTAGCATACGCACTTCATTTATACACCACATTTCTCCCCATTGGGGACACAAAATGATTTCCATCATATCTTTCTCCTCTCCTTCATTTTTCTCCTCACAACAGCCCTGTGAGGTAGGTTAGGCTGAGCATGTCTGGCTGGCCCAAGGTCACCCAGCAAGTTTTCATGGCAGAGTGGATATTTGAACCTGGGTCTCTAGGATTCTCATGCAATAAAACACTTGGGTCAGGTGAGGGTGACGGGTATATCTATAGATGTAGGTATGCTCCAGACATACCTAATCGGTAGACAGCCCCTTTTAAAAATTCTGTATTTCACAGATAGATAGATATGAAAAGATATGTATGTTTTTTGAGAAAGTGCCCCATCAGAGCAATCCCATGAAGACTTGCCGCTTTCTGTAAGCATGAGTGAATAAAATGGGACTCGCTCAAGATTGCTCTCCCTGCTTTATGTGTGTGTGTATACACCTGTGTATAGATGTCATTTGTGACTGTGTGCACAATTGTATGTATTAGAGCTATACAAGCAGGGGACCAGCAAGGACTTGGGCATCTCAGTTTCCCTCTCCCACCATTTCCTCTTTTCTTTCCATAAAAGCCTGTCTTTCTCCCTTTTCCTGCTTCCTTCCCATCCACCAACCAACCTATCTTTATCTCCCTCATCTTCAACTGTCCTTCCTTCCCTCCCCCTGGTAACCTCTCTCTGTGAAAACTATGGCCAAGTTGTACAGTGCTGGCATTACCCATATCCTCATCTTTCCCTGCTTCCTTCTCTTCTTCCCACCAACCTACCTTTTATCTGCTCCCCCATCTTCAGTTGTATGTATTATTTATTTATTTCCTTTATACACTGCTTTTCTCCATCATTGAGATCCAAAGCAACTTACGTCATTCTCCTCTCCTCCATTTCATCCTCCCAACAACTCCATGAGGTACGTTAGGCTGAGAAGGTCTGACTGGGCAAACATCTCCAAGTGAGCACCATGTTAGAATAGGGATTTGAAACTTTCCCCCACATCCTAGTATGAAACTCTAACCACTACACCACACTGGCTTTCATGAGATGGTTGCTGTTGGAAGCAAGCAGGTGGGCCTAGATGAGTCATGCAAGTTGGGAGGTATCAAGTCCCTCACTGGTTGCTGTCAGGCCTGGTCTAAGGAGTCCTCCCTCAAAGGCCAAAGTAGACCTGGAAAGAGCACTGCCCCTCTCCCTGCCTTTTACTATCAGAAATGAGGCTGATGTGGTTGCCTGGCAACTACCATCAAGAGGGATTGGTTTCCTAAAACTACAGACACTCCTTTTATCAGACCCTTGTGTTTGTTTTTGTTTTTTAGATTTCAGATTTTTCTGGAAACCTGGGGCTTTTCTCAAGTCTGCAGAAAGATCTCTCTTGTCTGTCCATGCCCCCAGATTCTGGCTTTAAGTATCCACAGATGTGGCCACATTGAGAATTAGATATATTGATGATGTATCCCCACATAATCTTTTATATGTGACAAATATATTACTCCTCTTATAACAGATATGGTGGGACAATCAGGTGCTGAGCATTGTAACCAATTGTTAATTGATGGGAACCGGACAAATACCGAAACTGTGGCAAAATTTTGGGTAGCATGCTACTGCATCCGAAATACATGATCAAATATATAATAGTTGCCTAATAGTCTCTATTTTATGTTCTTCTTTTACTTTATTACGTTCAACTTAATTTTTATAGTTTTATTTTACTGTCCTAAATTCAGTTATATGAATGTTATGAATGTTATATTTAAGCATGTGTGTTCTATGGCTTGTTGCCATAATAAATGCCTGACTGACTGATATTGATGATGTATCCCCACATAATCTTTCGCATGTTAATTTAGAAGAAAATGCCAATTCACAATGGCCCCAATTAGTCCTGCCTCAAAGCCCAAAACAGCCCTGGAAAGGGCCCTGCTCCCTTTCCCCACCTTTTACTGGCAGAAACCAAGGCTTATTAAAGGGTAGCAATACTGTTGTGCTAGCCTAGCAACAGCCACTGATGGCACATTTCTTAAAGCTACAGGTGCTGCTTGTATCATTTTGGAGGGCTTTAAACCCTGTGTTTTTTTAAGATTTCAGATTTTTCTTCAAACTTGGAGCTTTTCTCAAGCTTGTAGAAAGATCTGTCTTGTCTGTCCATGCCCCAGTCTATGGATTTGAGTATCCACAGATTTGGCCACATTGAGTATTAGATGTATTGATTCTAAATGCAGCTTCCCCATATAAGGGCCTCTAGATCTTGACAGTTTTATGTTCTGTCCCTTGGTAAAGAAGCACCTTTCACAATTCTAGACAGAAGTAGCTTGCTCTCTGTTCTGCTCTTCTTTCTCCCAATTTGTCTCTGCTAGGTTGGTGGTGATGCCTTCTTTCCTTCCTGCCCCTGAACTCCAGTACTGACTTTTCATGGGCCAAGTGAACAGCTTTTCAGCTGCTGTTATACTGTGCAGAAAGGCAGATCTCTGAATGCATGAGGATCAGATGCCTGGTTTGTGAAAAGTTTTAAGGGCTCTTATATTGGGTTTCTGAGGCTGACCAACAGTGGTCAGTGCAATACACACAGGACTTAGGGTGAAGAACTGTACTGCCTGCTTGGGATACAGGATGGAGTGTCCAGAGTAAATCCAGATCAGCGCTGCCTTTTGTGTGTGTGCCTTCAAAGACTCCCACTAGCCTGTGAGGTCTAGTCAACAGCCATTCACTTAAATGCTCACAAATCAAGTGATCATTCTGGCCCACCTGAGATGATCCACCTTTTTGCAGTGGACAGGAGAGCCCTCAAAGCGCGTCCTGAGCCTAGGGCAGTGGGAAGCAGAGCTGCAGAGGAGAGGTGCGAACATTCTGGACATTTCAAAACCAGGGGGCTGGTTTCATCCCAGGCCCCCCACCCAATAATACAGGGGAAAATTGGAATGTGTGTTACATTTTCTTATCAAGACCAAACTTTATTGTACTGCTTTAATGACATTAAATCAATCATTTAGAACTTAGCATATACAGTTGTACAATTTGGCATGTTTAAGAGATTTAATAGTACAGCTGCCTCAGTTTTCTACAAGTAGAATTGCAAATAAACCCTAGCGAGAGCGCACAATGCAAACAGCTGGACTCTCTGCTACTTTAGCATGTCTCCTAGCTTTTGCGAGCTGATAAGAAAAATAAAAGTTGAAAATTGAAAACATAAAAGTCTCCTATAATAACAAAACAGTGCAAAAAGATGCTTGGGTAAGGGACTGAACTATATACCACACTGTGTATAGTTCATCCTATCCGTTGCCATATGTAGATTCCTACTGTATAGTTTTTGCATCATTTGATATGTCATGTTAACATGCTTTGCTTCAAGTCTGTTTCAGATTTCTGGTTGGTTCCAGATTTCTACATCAACTACTCTTGCATTGCTTATTGGATGTCCCATCCTGTTGGATGTCTTGAGGTATTCTGTGGGGAAGGACTGTGGCTCAGTGACAGAGCATCCGCTCGGCATGCAGGAGGTCCCAGGTTCAGTCCCCAGCATCTCCAGTTAAAAGGATCAGGAGGTGATGAGAAAGACCTTCGCCTGAGACCTTGGAGAGCTGCTGCCTAGACAATAATGACTTTGATGGAACAAGGATCCGACTCAGTAGAAGGCAGCTTCATGTATTCTTGTGATCCACTATGATCCCCAGTAAGAAAGGTGGACTACAAATAATGTAAATCAATGGACATTATCCCAAATGAAGTGTGCAAAAGATTTGCAGCCCTAGTAAAGTGATAACTCCAGCTCAACTACAGCTTTTTTAAAAATGCCAGCAACAGAATCCTTACACACACACTTTTATTTATAACATTTGTCAGACATTCCATTATTATTGCTAAAATCTAGTTTTTAGATTTTAACTTTTAAAGAAACATACATGTAAGGACAGGAGACAGGAGGTTGCAGACTGGAGCACAGTTTAGTGTGGTCAGACATGGTGTTTATCCTTATCATCATTTATAAATTTCTTTTTTAAAGCAATCTTGTTGATTGTAATTTTTCTGTGCTGAAGCCAGAACTTTCACATGGATAAGAAAGATGCTTGGGCACTCGGAATCTCCTTTGTCAGGGAAGGACATCTCTGCCTGCATCACCTGTTTCATTTCCATCTGCCATGCAGCTTTCACAGTTCTATAGGGGAACTGACAGTCTTTCAGTACAGCTGACCTAGGCTGGGTAGTATGCAAGGCTGTGGGGCCTGAGGGGTGATTGGCGGTTTGAGCCTTCAAGCAGATGTCTTGCTGCTGGAAGAGAGGGATGTGCAACTTCCTGCCCCCCAAAAGTGAGAGCAACAAATGCTGATCCTAAGCTCATCCTTCAGTTTAGTTGTAGCCCAAATGCAAAGTAAACTTGCACGAAGAAGGGTTGGCAGTGGCTGTACAGTTGAAACTTTCTGACAAGTTCTAACCAGGCCAAAACAGCACAAGCGGCAACAAAATCCAAGAACACGTTAATGTGAAACAGAGTTTGAGTCCTGGGGCACCTTAAAGACCAACAATGTTTTATTCTAGGCAGTTTATGCCCAGAATAAAACTTTATTCCAACACAGCGACTCACCTAATTCTGCATTAATGTAAGTGTGTGTTAAGTGCTGTTGAGTCACTTCTGGCGACCCTGTGAATTAATGTCCTCCCAAACATCCTGTCGCTAACAGCCGTTCTCAGGTCTTGCAAACTGAGGGCCTTTATGGCTTCCTTTATTGAGTCAATCTGTCTCATGTTGGGTCTGCCTCTTTCCTGCTGCCTTCAACTTTTCCTAGTATTGTTGTCTTTTCCGGGGAGTCTTGCCTTCTCAGAATGTGACCACATTACAATAGCCTCAGTTGGGTCATTTTCTGGCCCGTAGCTGCAGTGGGGCTAAGGGGGGCTTCCACCCCCTCCCTTAAAGGGACAGCCCCACAAGATTTCCCTCCCTGCTTGCTGGCAAGAAGAAGACTCAGCAGCTGGCAACAGGGGCCATGCAGCTGCCCCCTTTCTTCCCCCACCAGCCAGCCGAGCAGAGAGGGGATTTAAACTTTAAACCCCCTCTCTGAAGTTGTGCCACAGCGGCGGCACGATTTCTCCATTGTATCCAATGGCTTGGTTTGGTCTAGAACCCACTTGTCTTTTTGGTGGTCCACGGTATCTGTAAAACTCTCCTCCAACAGCACATTTCAAATGAATTAACAAGTTAACATGCAGACTATTGTATCCAGTGGAGAAACGGTGCTGCAGCTCCGGCGTGATTCCAGAGACGGGATTTGAGGTTTAACTCTCTCCCTCTCTGCTCAGCTGGCTGGGGAAGAGAGGGGACGCTGTGTAGCTTTGTCGCCGGCCCCTGAGTCTTCTTCCTGCTAGCAAGTAGGGAGAAGACTTGCCTGGCTGGCAACGCCAGCCTGCTGTCTTCCTCCCCTCGTAAGGTTTAAATGTTTAAATTTAAACTAAGCCCCCCCCCCACCGCACCAGAATCTTTGGCTCCTGAGCAAGTTGGGCAGGAATGAAGTTTGCCACTGTTGTCAAAAAGCACAACAGGAAGGTCTCCACCCCACAAGTCCATCAACAACCCCTTCAGCGTCCTGAAATCAACATTCCTACAGATCAGGAATCCTTTTATCTTGACTGATTTTTCAAGGCAGGCTAGTCATTTTTCTGGAACAGTTTGTAGGTGAGCATTGTTATTTTTTGCTTTACCCTTCTTTACGCCTTTCTGGGAGATTATCCTACGGTGGGGGAGACAGAGAGAACAAGTGCCAGGTTAGAAGAATGTTAATGTATCCAGCTTTATGAACATCTCAAAATAAAACAAGTCTTTGGTCTCAGAGGAGCCTCCAATTCTTCAACGAACACAATGTAAATGGCAGCCCTGGATTACCCACGAACCATGCAGAACCAAGTGCACATAGTTGCTATAAATTAGAAGAAGAAGAGATTGGATTTATACCCCGCCCTTCACTACCCAAAGGTGTCTCAGAGCGGCTTACAAACTCCTTTCCCTTCCCCTCCCCACAACAGACACCCTGTGAAGTGGGTGGGGCTGAGAGAGCTCTTGACAGAAACTGCTCTTTTTCAGGAACAGCTCTTATCAGAACTACAACTTGCCCAAGGTCATTCAGCCAGGTGCAAGTGGAGGAGTGGGGGAATCAAACCCAATTCTCTCAGATTAGAGTCCGCGCACTTAACCACGACACCAAATGAATGAAAAGCCTAAATTAATTTTAAAGAAAGAGACCAGGGCGTGAAGCAACAGAGGCAGAATCCATACTAATCTGGTGTGTTTAATTGCCATTTACCTGGTTTTGGTATGCTTAGTTTCTGTGAACATTCAGGTGGTCTGAATCGGGATGCTTTCTATAAACCGAATCCCAAATAATTTCCTGAGCTCCAGAGGAGTCACAGACTGTGGTGTTTCTGGCCAGGCATGAGTGTGGGTGTCCCATCCCTTCTTTAACTTCAACAACTCCAAGCGCAGTTTCCAATTTCTAGCCTCATGTTCTTGGAACCCACCTCTTTATCACATTTTAATCTCAGCAATGCGTGATGGATTCCCTCCACTGTAGTCCCTCCAAGGCCCTGACCTCGATGGCCCAGGCTAGCCCGATTGCGTCAGAGCTCAGAAACTAAGCAGGGCCGGTCCTGGCTAATACGTGGGTGGGCAACCTCCAAGGAATACCAGGGCCGTGACGCAGGGTAGGCAATGGCAAACCACCTCTGAAATGTCTCTTGCCTTAAAAACAAGTTTCGCTCATCACCTAGTGATGCATAATGCTAAAAGTGTTAGAACGTCTGGCTGCCAGACCATCATAGGATCTCCTGGCTATACTACACACAAGGCCACATGATAATTAATCAATTAGTCCCTCCAAGGCAGTTTATGCTGACTGACCAAGTTCACCAAGTGAACCTTAGGGCTCAGCAGGATCTGAAACCTGGTCTAAACCAGTGCTCTAGCCCCTACACAACGCTGCCTCTCCTACTAGAGGCTCCGCTAACTTTCAGCTCTTGCGTTGTGACTACCATTTTAATGCATATGATGGTGTTTTAATAATATTTTAATTATTTATTGTATTCCTGAAATGTCGTTACCCACCCTAAGCCCGGTTGCGGGAAGGGCAGGCTGTAAATATGAAGGAATAAATAGATAAAGGTGCCATGGGGAGGCACAGAAGGCCCACGCATGGGAGATTTTTAGGCACTCTTCATTTCTGCATTACTCCCAAAATTAAGCCACAACAAAGCAGCGGTCCATTTACAGGCCAGCTCTTCAGCTGTCAGAGCCAATTTAATGTAAAATGAACAGAAGGCCCTTCGGGAACGTCCTCTCCAGGTCCATCTCATCCATTTCCATCCGGCTTCCTCCTCCTCAGCAAGGCCTCGGGTGCCTGCCACCAATGATGCCGCCTGGCAAGCTGACAGCATCGATCCAGTTGTGGACAGACGTTTGGGAAGCAAGCGGTCTCGTCCAGCCCAAAGACTACCAGTCGCCTATCACTTCGGACCGTCTGCCCTGGACTGCAGACTCCCAACATGGGGATGCTCTTGTCACACGAGTTCATCAAGCACTGGGCAAACCCCACTACCTAAACAAGCTGGGTCCTGCATATTTTATGGATCATACTCCTCTCTCCCTGCCCTGTTATAATCACCAAGACTGATTGACCTCCACAGTATCACCGCGACAGTAAACTGGGACGTCAAATACAGAGATCTATTTGGAAGCTAGGTGGCTTTAAAGAGGGATCAGACTTATTCATGAAGGACAGACTAGTGCAGGGGTGTCAAACATAAGGCCCGGGGGCCAGAACTGGCACATCCAGGGCTCTTATGCGGCCCGCGAGCAACTGATGCAAGGGAGGAGACAGGAGACTGCTGAAAGATGATTGTGGCTTCAGCATGGCAGAAAAACCTCATCTTCGGCAGTCAGGCAGCACGGGAGCATCTGCCCAGCATTGCACCGCTGGCTCTAAAGTCCACCCATGTGGGTTTTCCTCTGCACCCCTCCCAGCCCACGGGGCCTTGCAGTGAAGATATACCAATTCGGAGCTTACCAGCTGCTGTCCTTTATACAGTTTATATCTCTGGTACCTGGCATTTGTTTTATGGCACACATGGCCTGGCCCAACAAAGTGACATTTATGTTAGATCCAGCCCTCGAAACAAGTGATTTGACATCTCTGGACTAGTCTATCAATGGCTACAAGCCATGGTAACTTATTAACATTATTTTATTTTACTAATTTTATTAATTTTCTCTTGTTAATGTTTTTATACTTTTCCTATGTTATTGTTTTAATCCTTATATCAGAATTGTACTGTTTTACTGGCTCTTGCTGTAATAAATTGGATCGCTCAATAGCCATGGTAACTAAGGGGAACCTCCATGTTCAGAGGCAGTAAATCTTTGAATACCAGTACCTGGAGGCAACATCAGTGGAAGACCTCTATGCCTCATTGCCAGACCTCCAAGAAGAACCAGTTGGCCACTACGTGAGACAGGATGCTGGACTAGACAGATCACTGATCTGATCCAGCAGGGCTCTTCTGATGTTCTTATGAAGATGCCTTTGGTAGCAGTTCACCGGAGCTCTAGCCGGAGCCCATTTCAGAAGCAACACAACACTCTTTGCCTGGCAATAAACTGGCTTTAAGATCCAGAGCCTCCAATGTACTATTTGTTTCAGTTAGAAGAAGAAGAAGAGAAGAGATTGGATTTATACCCCGCCCTTCACTACCTGAAGGAGTCTCAGAGCGGCTTACAAACTCCTTTCCCTTCCCCTCCCCACGACAGACACCCTGTGAGGTAGGTGGGGCTGAGAGAGCTCTGACAGAAACGGCTCTTTTTCAAGAACAGCTCTTATCAGAACTACGGCTTGCCCAAGGTGATCCAGCAGGTGCAAGTGGAGGAGGGGGGGAATCAAACCCAGTTCTCGCAGATTAGAGTCTGCACACCTAACGAGATATGCTCGGCAGCTGAGTAGCTGCACAAAGGCTCAGGCTGCGGCATGGGCTCAGAAGGGCAAGCAGAAAATGCTCCTCCTGACTCAGAGTAGCACTGGGCTCCCTGGACAAGCAGCTCCGTCTGTCCCACAGGCCGTCCCTATTGCCAGACTCCAGTCCCTGAGAAATCACTGCCTCCGTGTTTCCCTAATTTTTGCCATCTGGAGGCGCCTTGTTAAAAGCAGGTTAGCACAAGCTGCTAAAGCTGTTGTTCTTCAGCCTTCCTCCCCCCCTGCCCAGTAGGAGTTGAGTTAGCTCTTCCTTGCCATCAAGTTGCAGCTGACTTATGGCGACCAGGTAGGGTTTTCGAGGGAAGAAACATCCAGAGGTGGTGTGCAATTGCCTGCCTCTGCGTCATGGCCCTGGGCTTCCTCAGTGGTCTCCCATCCAAGTACTGACCAGGGCTAGACCCTGCTTAGCTTCCGAGAACTGACAAGACTGGGCCAGCCAGCCTGGGCCACCCAGGTCACAGGGCAACTCTACTCCAGAGTACAGAAATGCATGCCTCAAGGCTGTGCAGCAAAGCCAGCCATTTCATAACTGCAGCATACTTTGGAAAACATCGCAGGACATTTCTCTAAGGTATTTTTCATAAAGCGAATGCATGCTGAAATTGCCTTGTGATTTAGCACAGGGCAAGCTAAGGGCAGAGTCAGTGCTGGTGAAACAAGAGCACAGAAGCAAAAGCTAGAAGCAGCCACTCAGTTTACCTACTTACAAGGTACAGAGGATTACAAGCACATCATTTCTCTCTTGCCTTCCCTCCACATATCTTCGCATGGAATCACATAAACAGAGTTGCTGCTCTTTTCCAAAAGCCTTCACCTTAAGTACATAAAGGCAGCCTTGCTGGATCAGAGCAGCACCTGATGTGCTCCAGCATCCTGTTTCACATAGTGGCCAACCAGATGTCCCCAACCCACTGAAAACTTACAAGGAGAGAGGCTCAAGCTGTTACCTGCCACACAAGACTCACACCGGATATCAAAGAACGTGTAACTTACCCTTTCCTTTTGGCTTTCCTTTGCAAGAACCGAGGGGACGTGAGAATGTGTTCCCTTTCCAAAGGCTTCTTAATCATCTTTTTCTTTTGCTTGCTGAAAAATGGCATTTAGAGAAGGGGGGGGGAAGAGAAGGGCTACATTAGAAATTAACTGAAGACAAGTTTCAATTATCATTCTAAGCCCCCCCCTCCCCCCGGGGGCAGCCAACGTGCCTGTTAAAAACAAAGGTAGTTTAGCTCGCAGAGTTGCGGTCGGGGACGCAACATCTGGTGACTCCAGGCCCCAAAGATGCCAGATTTGCAGCAACCAGGGCCAGGGCCTTTTCGGTGGTGGCTCCAATGAGCTCCCGGAGGAGATCTGGGCCCTGAGGGACCTTGCGCAGTTCTGCAGGGCCTGTAAGATGGAGCTCTTCCGCCAGGCTTTCGAGTAGGAGCCGCCACCACTGCACCACCACTACCAATTGGGCTGGGTAACATTGGGGGGGTGAGATGGCCCTGTGACAAATGAACGACAGCGCTGCCTGGAACTGATAGCACCAATCTGGGACCATCACCACCAGGATGCCACCATGTTACTGAAGACGTTTTTTGAGACATCTAGAGCACCTTGTATTGTTATAAATGACTATAAATGATTGTTTTATCTTGTTTTTAACTGTTTTAACCCTTGGCGTACGTGCCCAGTCTGTGAACCGCCCTGAGCTCGCTCACAGGGAGGGCGGGCTTTAAATCTCATAATAAATAAATAAATATGTCTTATAGCAGGCAGCTCAAAGGAGGAGCAGGAGAAGAATTACGCAAGTCAGGAGGAGGACCCCAGGAAGCAGGGAAGCAGGAGGGGCGGGTCAGGAAAGAGCTGCCGCTGCTGCCAGTGCCAAGGAAGTCGAGTGCAGGGCTAGCCGCAAGGAGAACCACAGCCGTCACCATGGAGGGGGCCTGGGGGAGGTGTTTGTGAACTTTCTCCATTGTGCAGGGGGTTGGACTAGATGACCCTGGGAGTCCCTTCCAACTCTGTGATCCTGTGATTCTAAGTCAACATTTACAAAGAGCTTTTCCCCATTCCTGGCATCTCCTTCAAGGCCCCCAGCATCATGAAGCCACTGTGGAGTGCCAGGCCAACACATCAGCCATCACCAGCTGTGAAGCGCAGACTGCTGCGTGCCTCCTGCTGGCAGAGAAGGTGGTCGAGCACACGGCCTCGGAGGGCACCTCAGCCTACACCAAGTACACTGGCAGCGAGCAATGGTCCCCTGCAACCTTCTTTATTTATTTCCTTCAGCTATACCCTGCTGTTCTCCTAAACGGGGACTGAAAGTGGCCTGAGCCTGTGCTCAAAATCCAGCCACACAGGGCTCCACAGTGTTCCGCCTCCAGAGCTCCTGTCGGAGGTCATGATTTGGGGCAACGGGAATGGCTGTCAAACATGGAGTGGCCACAGAGTGTTTGCGTTTGTTTGTTTTTACCTCCTCCCCGTTCTAGTGTCACCATTTCATTCAATCTAATACCAACATTACCTTTGCAGTTTGTGAAAATGCTTTATGTAGTCTGGCACAGGGCAGCCGGCTCGCTGAATAACACTGGCTATGCTAGAAGACAAGAAAAAAAAGGAGGGAGGGTTCGAAGAGTCAGATGCGACCATCCTCATTAACTTTGGATATTTTGTTCTGGTCTAGGAAGCAGACGCAAAGAGTGAGAAGTACTGAATTAATTATTACAGGCAACCATGAAAAGCAGCCAATTCACACGCACAAGTCCAGGCTCAACTTTTATTTATTTACTTTATCTGCTTCATGTATAACTTGCATCTCTCTGCAATCCTCCTCCTCCCCTCCATCTTATCCTATGAGGTAGGTGAGGCTGAGAGCGTGCGACTGGCCCAAGGTCACCCAGCAAACGTCCAGAGTCGGGTGGGGATTAGAACCTGGGTCTTCCAGATGCTAGTCCAACTCTCTAACCACTACACCACACTGGCTCTCTTCTCAGCATCTCATGCCATTGAGAACCAATGATGTTTCAGGCTCACACAGATCCACTTTCCCCCCACAAACCTGCCAGTGCTGATAATATTTACAAATCTGCACACCATTCTGACCAAAGGGAACCTCCCTCTGGCAGACCCCCTCCAGAGCTCAGTGCTACGCAGAGGAGAGCCGCCTCCTAGTTCTCTTCCACCAAACTTCAGTAGTCTGGAGAAGGAGAACCATCCTGGCTCACACTGGTCTTCAGAGACATCCAGATCAAACCGCATTCTTGATACTTTATCAGCAAAAAACTTGGCAAAAGTATCACAGTGAACTCTGTCCCTGGGACAGCAGAAGCTCAGATTTAGGCATAAGCACATGCTGAGCTACTCTGAACAATTGGGATGAAGGTGAACTAGCTGACGCCGTAATAGTAGCAAAGTAACCTTTCTTTGCTGCCATCACTGCTGCGTCCCGATCTGTCAGGTTCAGTCAGATTTCTCTGCCAGCACCGTTCTAGGTGTCTCCCAACCCTTTTCAGATCACCCCGCTCCGTCATAAACCAGGGGGTTAGGTTTTGTCCCAAGGGCAGAAGTCAATGAGGGGCAACCCTGTTGATAGTTTCAGAAGTATTACATTCCACTGTTCCACGGAGGCCTCGACAGGATACACATTTGGAACCCTAAAATCCCAACAGTGTTCTGTAATCCAGTAGGACTCATGAGTCTAAGTGGGCACACCATTTTAAGCACACCTCCTCTGATGTGGGGTGTTGGAGCCACATTCACTTGCCTTCGAGTAGTGGTCAGATGGTTCATGATGACTCTCCAGCCTGGAAACCAAATATTCCCTCAAAGTCTCGGTGCAAAAGATTTAACCCCAGGGTGTGGCCTCTTTCACGTGTTGGGCCAGTCACAATTTGGGTGGGACCCAAGGCAGTCAAAGAAGCTATAAAAACCTGGGGTGGTCCTGCAAGGTATCGCTGGCAAGAAAGCTGAAGCCCCCCAGAAAAATCAGTCTAGGAGGTCTCCAGCACCACATCCAACAATACTTCTTCCTGCTCAGAGGGGGTACCCACTGGGGAACTAGGTGGCCAGTAGACAAAAAGAATGCCTACTCTAGAAGAAGAAGAGAGATTGGATTTATACCCCATGGCCCTTCTACCCAAAGGTGTCTCAGAGCGGCTTACAAACTCCTTTCCCTTCCCCTCCCCACAACAGGCACCCTGAGAGCAATGTTCCCTCTAAGCTACGGAGTCCTGTGAGCAAAAATTCTTTGTGAGCTACTGGCCTTAAAGTTGTGAGCAAGTGATTTGGCTACTGCATAAATTAGTTTGCTCAGGAGCTGTCCTTCCTGAGCGAAAACAAAAATGTGTGAGCCGGAAGCTAAAAAACTCTGAGCTAGCTCACACTAACTCAGCTTAGAGGAAACACTGCCTGCGAGGTAGGCGGGGCTGAGAGAGCTCTGACAGAAACGGCTCTTTTTCAAGGACAGCTCTTGTCAGAACTACGGCTTGCCCAAGGTCATCCAGCCAGGTGCAAGTGTAGGAGTGAGGAATCAAACCTGGTTCTCCCAGATTAGAGTCCGCGCACTTAACCACTACACCAAACTATCCTTAATCCCAAACACAAGGAGCATATAGTCAGCATCAGTGATAGTTTGCACTGGCAGTCTGTAGAAGCGGAACGGTTCAGGGAAGATAATATGCACACCTCCTCCTCAGGCAGTTGTGTGGCGGTTCGTGGAGGACTGCATAGCCAGGGGTTATTAGTTGGGACAGACACACCACGTCATTTCCTTCCAACCATGTTTCTGTTATGCAAGCCAGGTCAATTTCTTCTTCCCGCAGCATCTCATAGAAGTGCGTATAGTCAGTATCAGTGATAGTTTGCACTGGCAGTCTGTAGAAGCGGAACGATTCAGGGAAGATAATATGCACAACTCCTCCTCAGGCAGTTGTGTGGCGTTCGTGGAGGACTGCATAGCCAGGGGTTGTTAGTTGGGACAGACACACCACGTCATTTTCTTCCAACCATGTTTCTGTTATGCAAGCCAGGTCAATTTCTCCTTACCGCAGCATCTCATAGAAGTGCATAGTTTTGTGCTCCACTGATGTGGTATTGTACAGTATTAGTGCAGACATGGGGGGAAAAGGGGCCTTGCTTTCATCAACTGTCGGGATGCTACAGAGGGCAGACAGGCAGCGAGTCTCCTTGCCAGTGACTGGCCATCTATGATAAATTCCACACCTACCAGTTCCCACTTGCACTGCTCCTAAACAGAAGCCTAAGCAACAATACGACTTTACAGTCAGGAAACACACCAAAGCTGGAGAGTACCTTCTTAGTAATGGCTTGTCATCTTCTGTGAAGAAAGTAATTGCTCTTCCTGTGCGTCCAGCTCTCCCTGTGCGACCTGCCAGACAGGAAGACACTAGATAAGCTCTCTCTTTAATGTATGTTCTGGTACACAGAAAGGGGGCTCGTGTACATGGAACTGCAGGTGAAAGAAATACTGCCTGTTAATTGCCAGAGCAGTCATCAGCAAGTGCTCTTTAAAGGTTTCCCTGGCTCGAAAGCCAGTTGAATGCGACTCTAGGGGGCGGTGCTCATCTCCGTTTACAAGCTAAAGAGCCAGCGCTGTCCAAAGACGTTTCCGTGGTCATGTGGCCAGCATGACTGAACACCAAGGCAGACAGAACGCTGTTACCTCCCCACTGAAGCGGTACCTATTTATCCACTTGCAATTTCTTGCTTTTGAACCGCTAGGCTGGCAGGAGTTGGGGCCAGAGATGGGAGCTCACTCCGTCGTCATGCAGCCCTCGGGTCTCAAACTGTCGAGTGACAGACCTTCCAGTCTGCAGCTCAACGTCTTAACCTCTGAGCCACTGCGGCCCTCATAGATTCTTCTTCAGAAGAAGTGAGAAGTGACTCACGAAAGCTCCTATCCTGCCACATATTTTGTTAGTCTTTAAGGTGCTACTGGACTCTTGCTCTTTTCGGGGGGGGGGTGATTCAAGAAATAAGCTGATCGTTCCATTGTGTTTGTGAATCAGACTGAAGAACCTAAGCCAAAGAAAACAGAGGGGTACCAAATAGAACCCATGGAAGTGTAGTGGCAAAGTCCACCGACAGCCACATCCCCCCTGCACTAGATTAAAACGTGTCTCTTCTCCTGCAAGTCACCCTGCTCATCTGTGAGCAAGACCTGCTCAGAGTGCCTTCCTTGCCAGAAGGGCCTATTGGCTGAAAGGCCTTTCCAAGTGCACCTCCTTCCACATACCCTGCTGGATTAGTGTCTGTTGCTAGCTTTCAAAAAGCAAGACACAGTTGTTGTTCTGCCATCTGTGCGTGCATGCTATATGTACCTGTCTGTTTATGGCTATATCTTAGTCTGCCTTGCAGTGTTCCCTCTAAGCTGAGTTCGTGTGAGCTAGCTCACAGTTTTTTAACCTCTGGTTCACACATTTTTGCCTTTGCTCAGGAAGGATGGCTCCAGAGCAAACTAATTTTATGCAGTAGCCAAATCGCTCGCTCACAACTTTAATGTCAATTGCTCACAAAGTAGGAGTTTTGCTCACGAGACTCCAAAGCATAGAGGGAACATTGCTGCCTTGTTAGTTTTTGAACAGATGTTTAGTGATGGTACAGTTACCTTGAGAGTCCTTGGGGTGGGAAAGTATAGTAAACAGAAATGATAATAATGTGTCATTTTAACAGCTCCATCTTTTATAGGATCTGCTTTCTACTGAGTCATCCTATCAAGTTCACAACTGTTCCCCACTCCATGCGTGTTTGTTATGCTCAATTTTTTAAAAAAAGAACTTAAATTCTGCACCCAGGCCACTCAGTTTTTGTACCAAGAAAAAAAATGAATTCTGCACCCTGTATAGAATTATGCAAACTGAAGCAATAAGCTCTTTATTTTGCAAATTTTATTCCGATTTTCTTGTCAGATGGAGTTAGAAGCCACTATTCCCAAATACTAGTGACCTTTCTGGCTTTTGAGATTTCACACTGTTTTCAAGGGTATCTCCCCAAGGGCCAGAAACCTTTTTTAAAGTGAAAACTGAAGACCATACCCAACATGCTCTGTGCTGCTTGTTGAATCATAGGGCGCGCACACACACATCTTTGCCACTGCCCACGGAGAGCCAAGGATGCTCAACAGCAAAAGTTTTCTCAGAGTTCTGCTGCAGTTGGAGATTTCTCTCTCTCTCCTTTTAAATCTGGAGACACTGAGGACTGACTCTGGGGAATCAGACAAGCAACGCAGGTCCTCCACTAACATGCTTCCCCACCATAAAGCTGAAAGGAAGAAGAGCCCCAGGATCAAACATGCTTCTCTACTCACCAATCCGGTGAATATATTCCACAGCGCTACTTGGGAAGTCGTAATTGAGGACCATGTTCACTCCTTTGAAGTCAATTCCTCTTGCTAGCAAAGCGGTGCAGATCAGGACCCAGATCTTCCCTGACCTGAAGCTCTGGACGACATTCTCTCTCTAGGGAGACAAATATCCCCCCGCCCCCAATAAATACAAAGACGAGACAGCCGTTTCCCTCAGGCATCAGGCACTGGGAGGATGGGCAGCGGCTTGTGCATTGATGCCTTGGGTTGGCCGCTCCTTTCCCTGATTCCCATTTCTACGTGCACACTTATCTTGAAATTGGACAAGAAAACACTCTGCACCCTCCTCGGTGAAGTGTGGAATTTGCTGCTATGAAATGTGGGCCTTGGGCTGGCTTTTAAAAGGCGATCAGGCCAACTCTAATGGCTACTGAGCTCTGCAACTAAAAAAACCCCTCCACGTGTGGAGGCAATATACCTCCAAATGGGTAAGGCTGGGGATAAAACAGAACAAAGGAGAGCTGCTGTTTTTTAAGGCCCTGCTTGTGAGACCAAGAGGCTTTGGGCTGGCCAGTGGGGGGGGGGGCAGTGTGTGTGAAAAAAACCCAAGACTGGTTGCACGGGGGGGTCCCAAGTCCAACTGCCTCCTCCTCGGCCTTTATTTCCTTGCCTGCAGCAGCATGTTTGGAAGGTCCCCAATGGCCATTTTTGGTTGTTTTGTTCCTTATATAAATTATATTGTCATACTGTTTCTCTAATTTTGTTTTTTGTAATCCGTTTTTTGTTTCGCTGCCAGTTGCAGTTTCATTGTACGTAGCATGATGCTTTCTGTACGTTGCTCTCTCATTTGGTAATCCTGTTTTACTGCACTGCCGACTAAAGGCACTAGGCTGCTCTGACTGTGTGGTTTTTAATTGAGTAATCTGCCTCAGATCTCAGTGAACAAAGCAGCCTATAAATAAAGGAAAGACCAACCAGGAACGAAATAAGAAAATATATATTTACTTCACATATACCTTGCCCTTCTCCCCAATGGGGACGCAAAGCAACTTACTTCATTCTCCTCTCCTGCATTTAATCATCATGACAAACAACGCTCCCTCTAAGCTGTGGAGTCTTTATGAGCAAAAATTCTCCTTTGTGAGCTCCTGCCATTATAGTTATGAGCAAGCCATTGGCTACTGCATAAAGTAGTTTGCTCTGGAGCCATCCTACCTGAGCTGAGACAAAAATGTGTGAGCCAGAGGCTAAAAAACTGTGAGCTAACTCACACTAACTCAGCTTACATGGAATACTGATGACAACCCTGTGAGGTAGGTTAGGTTGAGCGTGTGTGACTGGCCCAAGGTCACCTGGCAAGAGGAGGGATTCGAACCTGGGCCTCCACAGATCCTATAGTCCAACATTCTAACCACTACATCACCACTGGACGCACTGCTGGGAGAAGGCATACAGCACTGCAGCCTTCGCCACTGCCCCACAAGAGCTCCCACAACATAACGCTGGAGGAGGACGAGGAGACGACACAGGACCTGTAAGCAGACAGCCACAGACAGCTTGTTGCCACCTGGCTCGGGGCATGCGCTGCTCGCAGAAGCAGGCCTGCCGAAGTTCCACCAGCAGCAAGACGGCCCAAGAGAGTCCCAGAGCACTTGCAAGGGAGAGCCTGAAGGCGCAACATCCTCTGGACTCCGCAGCATCAGGATCCTACCTGCTGTTGTGTTCTGTCTGCATGAATGATGTCCACGTTGATGCCCTCATAGATAAGCTCATGGAAAAGCTCTTTCGCCCGCTCAATGGACTGGACAAAGACCAAGACAGGAGGCATGAAGCCCTGCAGTTAAGAGAGGGGGGAAGAAAGCAAAATTGAGCAGGCAGCTGACCAAAAACACAGACAGGGTGTCCAGCCAAGTGCGCTGAGAGAGCAGTGTTACTGAGATGGTAAAATCAAGAGGGCCGGGAGATGGGTCCTTTGGCTCAGGCAGGCTCTTCAGCTGCTGGACATTAAAGTAACTAAAGCTCTCCAGTGTCGGGATTGCCTCCTTTGGGGAAGCCTCTCCAGGGCCATGGAGAAAGTTCTCTGAACACTCTTCAGATTGTAAAACCCCAAAGTCCATGCCATGTACTTCATCACATTTTTCATCTTGCTGAAGTACAGAACAGGCGTAGAAGGAAAACCCTTGCAAAGAGAGTCCATATACAGGTACTGCCTTGAACAACAGGCCAGAAGACATATGCAACAGAGCAAGAGAGCAGAGTGGACTATACCACTTCAGACTCTGGATAAGGGAGCTCCTCTTTCTTATTTTTTTTAAACCCCTGGAATATCAAAATCTAGCATAACACTGAGATGGCTAGCTTAGAACTTGTCTCTCCATGTACTAGTTCTCTGCTCGCAGGGAAATTTTGTTATGACAGAAGTGGCTGCCTGAAGCACTACGGCCCTCTCTGCTGTAGCCTCTGTTTTTCCAGCTAAAAGATCAGGCATTAAGTGATGTGAAAAACCTCTGCCTGGAGAGCTGCTACCAGTCTGAGTAGACAATACTGACTTTGATGGGCCAAGGGTCTGATACAGTAAAAGGCAGATCCAGTGTTTGCTGGATCCAGCCTCAGTTTTATTAACAAGCGCATCTAGATCACCAGATGAGGAGCCATAAAAAGCAAAACCCCAAACTACCTTTTTCACAAGGTCTCTCATAGCTAGGAGCTTCCCAGTCTCCGAACCCACAAACAAGAGCTCCTGATCCACCGTCTCTGCTGCAGAGTTTCTGGAACCAAAAATCAAGAGATGCAAAGGTGCTCTAGCTGAAGGAATTGCCCATGCAATAAAAGACATTCTACCATCCACCACTCAGGTTCAATAGCTGTTCATCGTTACTAAATGACAAATATGCTTTATAAGAATAGTTACGTGTTACCAGAGTACTGCCTTTCTTCCCCCTCCTCAGAGATGCTAAGGAATGAGAATATTAACCCAGAACATTAACATTATTAGTATTAACATTAATAATACATCAAAATTACACTGCCTATATGCAGAAAACAGGCAGACTCTGTGCCCAACTTTTTTTAATCTGCACAAGCACAATACAGGCTAACACACACACACATACACAGACATTAGGGTGCTTAAGCATGGCCTATGATGTGCTTTCAAGTAGTCTGTGAAAACTATGATGAAAACAACAAAAGTAAATATCACAAATTTACTTGTGATAAGTGCTCTAGGCTGATGCTGCATTCAGCAGGGGGGTTGGATGGCCCCTCCCAACCTTGTGATTCTATGATATTCTGTTGTTTTCATCGTAGTTTTCACAGACTACTTGGTGTGCTTTCAAATAGTCTGTGAAAACTATGATGAAAACAACAGAAGTAAATATCAAGAATCCAGAAGCCCCTTCCAAGTTTCCAGTACACGCTGGAGCTGTTTTCCAGCAAGACAAAAACCTGAATTGAAAGGGGGTTTGTCTCTTCAACAATGCAAGTAACCACCACAGAAAATCCAGGAACAGAAGCAGGACTTATGGAGCAGTGTGAGGAGCCAAGCTCCAGAGAAGGAAACCACTGGACAGGAGACCTGTCATAAGCAATGGCCATCAGGTGAACCATAATGAGGAAGAAATCCAGAATGGCAGTCGGCAATGTAACAAAGTCGTACAAACCTAACCAACAGCTGGCCTTTAATCAATACCCTGAAGACACAGATGAAATTTGAGGCCCGGCTTCCAACAACCACACCAAAGCTATGTAACCTGATAGATATTGAAGGATCCCAAGAACCTACCCACAAGAAAAGAAGGTGCCACTGAGTCTCCATGCTTACCTTGCTCCAATAGAGACCGAAATGACGTTGTCTAAGTTCAGCTTACACCACTGCTCTACATCGTGTGCAAACGTTGCGCTGAACATGGCCCTCTTGACAAGAGGGGAGGTGCAAGCCAGAAAGATGGTGGCCAACTGGTCTCGGAACCCCGTCTTCCCGTCTTCAAACAACTTGTCCGACTCATCGACCACGAGCCACTCGATCCTATGGCAGAGCAGGAGGCTGCTTTAAGTTCCTTTCCTCCATTCTAAACGACAGGTCTTTGTGGGTTTGGCAGGAATTCTCAGTCAGTATTGCTGGCTTGAGGTCATTCCCAGGCAAGCAAGAGGGCCCAGCGCTGGAGGCGTTTGCGATCCCTGCCCCAGGCTGCAGAGCCCTGATTTTATTTATTACATTTTTGCCCCTTCTTCCCACCAAATGTTGGGTCCCATGCATCAGACGACAGTAAATATGACCATTCAGCCAAAGGGTTACTTGGGAAGGGACTCTCAAGCAAGCTGTTTCCTGTCCTCACTCTGATGGATGCCTTCAACTGGAGCAGGGGGAGGGGGCTGACAATACATCACGCCTAAAACATTTCTAAGTCTGCAAAAACACACACCACTGGTCCAGCTGGCTCACTACTGGCAGTAGTTCTCCAAGTCTTAAGCCAAGAGCCCTTCTTGGTCTGCTTCCAAAGTACAATATAAATGCTCTGCTTTGGAGGAAACCCCCCCCCCCTCAGTTTCCAGTCTTTGAGGCTGAAACAAACAAACAAACCTGGGTTCAAAGTGTGCTGGAAAGCTGGATAACCTCTGAAGCCAAACAGGGGCTGGCTTTCGGCAGGATTTCCAGCAGTCAGGGAACCCTTGGCCCTCCTGGAATGCCAGCAAAGGAGTGATAGCAAAATCTGTGCAATTAAGCTTAAATCTGCATTTTTCTGCCATCAAGTCACAGCTGACTCATGGCCCCTTGGGGATTTCAAGGCAAGAGATAGTCAAAGGTGGTTTGCCATTGCTTTGCGCAGACTGCAGAATTTGGGTAAAAGACATAGACGCGAGGGGTGCATCTGAAGTATGCTATGCGTACTACTCAATTCTCAGGCAAAATTAGGTTTGCGTTAATGCAACGAATGTTAACTGGCACATGCTTGTTACCACAAATTCATAGAAATCCTGCTAGGGCTTATTTTGGGGGTAGGTCTTATTTTCGGGGAAACAGGGTAGACGCGAGGTGTGCATCTGAAGTATGCTATACGTACTACTCAATTCTCAGGCAAAAATAGGTTTGCGTTAATGCAACCAATGTTAACTGGCACATGCTTGGGTCAATGTGTCCCTTCTGGAGGGATCCTGAAGAAATTGGCTTAGACAGCTTTAAAAGGGACCTATACAACATACCTGGCCAAGTCTATTGCTGGAGGGTCTTGTTTCAGTAAATAAATAAGTCTGTTTGGAGTAGTCACCAGTATATCTGCAGGAAAACATGCACACATTTAGGACCAAAGGAAAGGGCAAGCGGATAGAATGCTGTCCATAAACTGAGATGTATACCCGAATTACCAAATTTACGGGATGACTTTGGCCCAAACTTCTTTGCGGCCTCGGCAGCTTTGTGGATCATGTGAATTCGGAAGCCTGTCCCTTCAGACAGCTTTACTAGCTCTCTGTGTGTCTAGAAAAGAGAATGAGCACAGGCTGAAACGCATGCAGTAGTTCTTGAGAAAGCAAAAATGAGCAGGCGGAGGCTTTGCACTACAGCAGAATGCGCCACGGATTAAGGGTCAACCCGCCAGCATCTCCAAAGGGCCTTGCGTAGCACAGCTTGCAAAGGCACTCTCTCGAACACAAGACACAGAAAGCAGTTCTAGGGAACACAATTCTACCCAGACAGTCTAAAGCTCATTCTAATGGAGAGGGGTTGTGGCTCTGCCTTTGCATGCAGAAGGCCCCAGGTTTAATCTCCATGTGAAAAGCACAAGTAGAAAGCGATGTGAAAGGACCCTGCCTGAGACCCTGGACAGCTGCTGCCAGTCTGCGTGGACAAGGCCGACCTTGAAAAACCAGCGGTTCTACTGACCCTGTAGAAGGCAGCTTCATGTGTTCTGGTATTTTGCCTGGTATTTTGCCCCATTTAAACAACAGGTCTGCACAACTGCCAAAGCCTGTTTATATTCTATTTGCCGCCTTCCATATTTTACATGGCAAGTGTAATCCTGAGGGCCTCTTATTGGTGTTTATCAGGTCATGGATATCGGGTGGGACTGACTGCATCTATGCTCACAACCATTCATTCCCTAGAAAGAAATTTTGTGATTGCAGGATTTGTGATCTTATTGCTGGGTATCGGGATCTTCGTCTGAGTAGGCCTGCGTCAGTCATGTCTTTGTGGCTAGGCAACTCTGTTTTCAGTGATCTTTCTATATTCACTATATTCATCTTTCTATATTCATTGGAGATGGGGGAGCGATGCAGCACAATGTGGACAGCCAATGGGCTGGAGTGGGGTTAATACATCCGCTGATGGTTCTCATTGTTGTGTTAAGTTGGACGTCAAGTTTAAGGATATGGAGGGGGGGGCTGTTGAGCCACAGTGAAGCGCCATATTCCACAGTACTATACACCAAGCCCAAAGCTGAGCAGCTGAGTGTTGTAGCAGACGCACCCCAAGTTGTACCACGTAATTTCTGGAGAATGTTGTTTCGCGTATGTATTTTCTCTGTTATATTGGTAAGATGGTGTTTATAGCTCAAGGTCCTGTCCAGGGAAATGCCAAGGTCCTTAGGTGTATGGTTGTGTGTAAGTCGGGTGCCATTAAGGTAGACATTCAGTTCGTGGTTGGCAAGATTGTTACTGAGATGGAAACAGAGCATTCTGTTTTTCCTGGACTTGGGATAAGCCACCATTTACGGTGCTAGCCAGCCAAACCTTTGAGGCCCCTAGTATTTCCTCAGTTCTATCAACTGATTTGTGCCTTACTGCAATCGCCATGTCATCAGCATAAGCAAACTTCCTGGATATTGTCTCAGGAGCATCTGAGATATACAGATTGAAAAGAACTGGAGCGAGGACCAAACCCTGGGGTAGACTGGTATTCAGTTTCTTCTGCTTGCTGATTGACTGACAGATAGTTACTTGGAAAGTTTTATCAGTCAGCATGTTATTTAGGAGTCAAAATAATGTTCTCCAGGGGAAAATTTGTAAAAACTTGTACAGCAGACCATCCCTCCAGACTGTGTCATAAACAGCAGTCAGATCAACAAAAACAGCTGATGTCTTAAGACACTTCTAATATCCAGCCTCAGTGCAAGTTGTTAAGCTGAGAACCTGGTCTTCACAACTACGACGGGGTCTAAATCCTGCTTGTTCTATAGGGACATGTTCGTTAATTCTGTCACTGATTCTGTTCAGGATTAGCCTCTCGGGGAGTTTATAACAGGAGCTCAGAAGGGAAATAGGCCTGCAACTTTCCACCAGATGACTTGGTTTCCCAGGTTTCAGAATAACAACCGTCTTTCTTGGATTCCCCTCGAAGTCTTCCTGTTCTCATAATTTCAATGAGAAACTTTGCGAGCCACTTCTTAGAGAACACACTGCCGTTGACCAGGAACTCATTATGGATGCAGTCAAAGCCTGGTGCCTTTTTGCTCTTGATGTCTTTCAGTGCCTTGGAAAGCTCATTAGCACTGAAATCCCCCGACAACCTGCAGTCTCCAGGGCAGGTGAAGCAATCAAGCATCAAGTCAGCTCGTTGGACCATCGAGCTCAGCACTGGGCCCCAGTTTTCCAGTGGCATCAGTTCTCCAGTGTTTCAGGCAAAGAAAGGTCCTCCCCAAGACTTGCTCCCAGGGTTCCTTCAACTGAAAGTGCTGAGGATGGAACTTGGGGCCTTCTGCATGCGAGCAGGGGCTCTACCAATGAGCCAGGGCTCCTCCCACAACACCACACACACAGTGCCCTCCAACCGACTCGTTCACAGTTCTTAATCATCATACCTGACTGGCCAGCTCCCTTGTGGGTGAAATTATGAGAGCTCTGAAGCCTTTGTTCATAGGTTGCTTCAGGTGCACCAGAATGGGAACGGAAAAAGCCAGGGTCTTCCCAGAGCCTGTGGGGGCACAGGCCAGGAGTTCACGATCCTAGTGGGGGAGGGAGAAGGAGGAAAAAAACCCTTAGGTAAGACAAAGTGAGATAATTTGCACAGCACAAACAAACATGTAAATCAGATTCGGCATGAAAAAGAAATAAGTATAAAAGAGCAGCACTAACATGAAAGGTAAAAGCCCACAATGGCCAAACTGTGTAAGCAGTATTAAATACGTTTATCTATTAACATCCTTAATGGAGACCCAAAGCAGCTTACATAATTTCGTTCTCCTCCATTTTAGCCCCACAAAACCCCTGTAAAGTAGAGGTGATGAACTGACCTTCGAAACCAGGATGCTTAGTGCAACAAAAACAGAGAGCTGGAAGATTAGGGGTTAATGCCTCACTATAAAGCACAGTTTGATTGACAGGCTGCTGCCTGGGTGATTGGTCAGTGCCAGCTGAGGAGAGCTTTCAAAAGTCTTGTCAGTCTTGTCAGAGGGGGTCAGTCCTCCTTTGGGCTTTGGCTTGGCCGTTGCCAGTCGGGAGGACTCTGTCTGTGTGTGTGTGTGTGTCAGTGTGTGTGACAGTGACAAGTCACTTGGGAAGTGAAGGGACACAACTCCTTATCCTTACTGTGTACCAACACATTTGAGGAAAACTTCAGAAATCAGAACTTAAAGTCTAAGGGTCAGCCCTAGCTGGATTCCATTTCTTCACCGTCTCCAGAACTGGGGTTTAGGTTTGCCGGAAGAGGCTGGGCAGTTGGTGGGAAACTGCCAGCCTAGCCAAACAGAAAAGGGTTATTGCTCCTAGGAAAAGGAGGATATACCTTACCCAGTTATTCAGAGGGTTCAACTCAGAAGGGGCCTCTGGTTTGAGAAGGGAAAAAGGAAACAGTCTCAGACTCCTCAAGTCTTAGACTCCCCCTACAATAAGAGGGCTCCTGCTGAGTTACAATAAGACTCTGGCCTGGGCAAAAGCCAAATTAAGTTCCTTAACACTGGGTGGGACACAAAGAAAGTTGTAAGTTTATAATTCAAACACGCTACTATCAATCAAACATTTAATACGGTCAAAGACCCATCAAATCACCACCAAAGTCATAAAACAGACAGGGTATACAATTCAGTCAAACACCCCTTACAAAATCTTAAACATAAAATTAAACTAGGCATTTCCATCTAGAAATTGTTGGTGATATGGCCTTCACAGCAAACGTTGCCACCATTAAAGTAATTTCTTGATTCCTGTCGGCTAAAAGCTTATCTAAGTAAAATCTCAAATTTCTCCACGGGAATCGGAGACAGACTGGCGCTAAATAAACAGAACGGAAGTTCTGGTAAAGTTTACATTAAAAAAGAACACGTTCCCTCGACTAAATCCTTCCATCCCCGCAGATGCACAAACATTCTTCACAGCAAGCACGCTACTAAAAGGCAACTCAGTCAGACCGGTGAACCGTGTTTTGGCGTGAAAATCTGCCTCACAGAAAAGAAAGAGTAGGGGTCTGTCACAGTAGGTTAGGCTGAGAATGTGTGACTGGCCAAAAGTTACTCATCAAGCTCCCATGGCAGAGCCGGGATTCATACATGGGTCTCCGAGATCCTAGGCCCTGTTCACACGGAGCATTTGCCCCGCTGATGGCACAGGAGTCCTGTGGAGTATCCGGGCGCGATCACACAGGAACATCTGGGAGGTGTAGCACTCCCGTGGCGAACCCGTGGCAAGCCGCCAAAGCCGCATAGTAAGAAACTACCTCAACGAAGGTAGTGGCAAACGCTTTGCCACGGGCCGCCTATGGAAACCTCCAGGTGTGATTGCACCGTCGCGCGGCTTCCTCCCCCGTCATCCTCTTTGTTGCGGGGAAGCCGTCGCCGCGTCTGATCGCATAATAGCGCATCAGAATGTGACGGCGCAAATAGCCGCGCTTCCCCCCCGCGTTTTCCGGCACGTCTGACCGGGTCCTTAGTATGCTGCTCTAACCACTATACCACAAAACCCAGAAAAAACAGGTCTCTACATATTCAGGGAACTGCACGGGTAAATAGAAAAATATGACTTTATACATTAACTCCTGGGAAATTAGAAAGGGAAAAAAATATTTCGAGAAGGGAGATGGAGGAATTAGCCTGAATGAGACTTGAACAGCTTACTGAAACCTAGAGAGGGGAACCTGGGCATGGGGAAGAAGTTTCCAAATAATTTCTTCCTCTAAAACCTGCAATTCCATACATGTTGTCAGCTTGTTGTTAACCATATCTAACAAGCTCTGGAGGATATAAAATGCCTTCAATAAAGATTACATTCAGCCTCACAATAACCCCAGCCAAAGGCCGACTCCTTCAACCAGCTGACCACAAGTGATTACATTCAGCCTCACAATAACCCCAGCTGACCACAAGGGTTCTCTTCCATCCATTTCAAAACAAATCCTGCTTTGCAGGCACAACATCCATCTCCCAACACTGAAATCAATGGGAAAAGCCCCTGCTCTTGCAGACTTCTGAGGTTCACACCAAGAAAGACTACATAGAACTTCAGGCACGTTGCTCACGAGTGACTAAAGAGACAAAGAGAGAAAGATAACCGGCACCTACATGAAGCATGACCGGAATGGCCTGCATCTGAATGGGTGTGGGATACTGGAATCCAGCAGCCTCAATATTCTGCATGATCTTTGGGTGGATTTTGTATTGGTCTCTGAGTTGCTCAAACGTAGCAATTGGTTCTGGAAGATCTGTTCCTTCAATGTAGATCTTCTGCTGGTTTCTGAAATGGTTTACCTGGAGGAAAATAAATTTTGACATGTGCGCCAGTAAAATGGAATTCTAGGAAAAAATCTTATCCTTTCTTCTACAGAAGCTCAAATTGGCAAACATTCATAACAGGACTTTAAATATTTAACTGGCTAATTAAGCCAACTGATTGCAACTTGTTCACACAATCTAGATTCAGAAGTTCGTATTTTGGGATGGATACACTGGGCAGAAGAAAGAATGCTTGCTCTATGGGACTATGAAATCTCTCTCCCGGCGACATCAGTGGAACTACTGACAAGATTCCCTGATCTTGGAGTAGCTACTGACTCATAACTCCAATTCTAATTCAAACCTTGAGCACATGACTAAAAATCCAACACTACCCATTTTTAGGGAAATGTGTCTCCTACATTCCTAACGATAAAAGCAAACCAATAGATGTTTGGTTCACTGATTCACTGTTCAGTTTAATGACTCCACAAATTTCCTCATAGAAAACGATTCAAAGAACTTCCTCACCTTTTCTCGTCTGGCTCGTTCCAGTTTCTCGGCAGTGGGTTTCTCCTCCCCCTTCTTTTTGGGAACACCAAGCTTTGCTTCCAGAGCAGACATCCACAGCAGCCCATCATTTTCATTGCCAGCAAGCGGCGGAGCTGTTTCTGAAAGTTTCAAGAACACACACAGTGTACACCAGGACAAAGATCTAGTAAAATTAATGACAAACACCTATGAAGATTTCCACCTAAGAAATTCTACTGCATGGCTTCTATTGCTTAAGAAAAAGAAATAAGAGCCATTTTGCTGTAGTGGTTAAGTGTGCGGACTCTAATCTGGGAGAACCGGGTTTGATTTCTCACTCCTCCACTTGCAGCTGCTGGACGACCTTGGGCAACCCATAGTTCTGTCAGAGCTGTTCTCTCAAGGACAGTTCTGGAAAAAGCCCACTCAGCCTCGCCTACCTCACAGGGTGTCTGTTGTGGGGAGGGGAAAGGAAAGGAGTTTGTAAGCCGCTCTGAGACTCTGAGTGAAGGGCGGGGTATAAATCCAATCTCTTCTTCTTCATCTTTCTTGAATACCATTTTACTATAGGATCTTCTGGAGCCATTTCAACTTGGCTTCAGGCAAGGGACTGGAACAGAGACTGCTCTGGTCACTTTGGTGGATGACCTCTACTGAGAACTAGAAAGGTGGAATAAGAGTCTGCAAATTCTACTGGATCTCGCAGCAGCCTTCAATACGATCAATCATAGTATCCTACTGAGCTGCCTCTCGGCACTGGAGGGCACCAGGTTACAGTGGTTTGAGTCCTATCAGGAGGGTGGTCTCAGAGGGTAGTGCTGGGGAACGCCTGCTCTGCCCCAGGGCTGTTGACCCGCCGAGTTCCACAGGGTTTGATCTTATCTCCCATGCTATAATTTAATATCTTTGTGAAGCCGCTGGGAGAGGTCATCAGGAGGGTTGGGCTGGGGTGTCACCCATAAGCTGGCGCTACCCGGCTCTGCCTCTTTCCCACTGGATTCCAAGGATGATGTTCTGCATTGGCACTTGGAGTCAGTAAGGGACTGGATAAGGGTGAACAAGTTGAAAATCCTGACAAGACAGAGGTTCTCTGGGTTAGTAGAAAGGCAGACTTTCAGGTTCCACAGCCAACAACTGAGTACACCCTTATCAGAAAGGTTATAATTTATTGCAGAGCTATAGAGGCAGTAACAAAGTCACTGTTAAGAATGGCAACGTTCCTACAAGCATAATGGGATATAGGGCATGCACCCTATATGCACCCCCCCTTTCCATAGGTCAATTAGTCTGGCTCCCGCGTGCGGGAGAAGGGTCCCCAGGCCGTTAGAGGCCGCAGCTGGGAACCGAAAGTGCTCCCACGGTTCCAGGCATCCCAGACACTACACCGGCAACCTGCAAGGTCATTGATAAGAAAGCAGTACAGAAGCAAAAGTAAAGAAGCAGCATCTGGCCCACAGATCAAGAGAATGGATCCCCCCCATCATGGCAGCATAGCTGATATAGACCTGGGACTTGAGATCCATCCCATCTTGAATGGGGTCATACTCCCCTTTAAAAGCTGGGAGTGCTACTCAACACAGCAATCGCCTTAGAAAACCAGGTGGCTACAGTGGCTTGGAGTGCTTTTGCCCAGCTTCGGCTAATGTGCCAGCTACCAGTGACCCATGCCTTAGATACATCTAGACTGGACTACTGCAATGCTCTCCACTTGGGTCTACCCTTGAAGTGTTTTCGGAGGGTGAGCTAGGGCAGAACACTGTGGCTACACTGCTGGTTGGGGCCAGCTTTTGGGAGCATGTGACCCTGATATTACAGCAATTACACTGGCTACCAATCTGCTCCCAAGACCAAGGCGTTGGTTTTGAACTTTGGAGCCCTAGATGGCCTGGGACCAGGGTATCTGAAGGACTGTCTTTTCCTGTATGTTCCCTCTGGGGAATTAAGACTACAGAGAGACACACTCCTGACTGTCTCATCAAAGAAGTTTGTTTGGAAGATAAACAAGAAAGGGCCTTTTCATTATTATGGAACACATCTCCCCGGGGAGTGTGTGCTCCATAATAATTAAAAGTGAGGTGTGTCTGGTCCCCTCACTTCCAATCTTTAGGAGGCAACTGAAGACGGTTTTATTTAGGACCACATTTCATTACGTTTATTAGCAGTGATTTTAAAGTTTTTAATGTACTTTATTTTATGTGACTTGCCTATGTTTGTAAGCTGCCTTGAGATCTGATAAATGTTTTAAATAAATAAATAAATAAATAAAATAACATACATTTTAATAAAATAAAATAGCCTACATTGTGACATCTTTTGTCCCAGATAAAGCATTTCAGAGCTGGTTGCCTGGATAGTCTCAACTGTACTCTTCCCCACAACCAGGAGAGGCCGTTGCTCTTTGGCATGTGTAGCGCCTTAATAGTTCCTGCTTGCTAACACCTTGATGACATCCAAGATGAAGCCCAGAGAGGACCTGATTTTAGAACAAGCTGATTACTCATTACCTTGGGTGGTCTTCTTCTTTCTCCTTGCCCTCCCTTCTCTGTTTTGGGCATCCCTTTTTCTCTTTTTTGCAGCCCCTCCAGATTCGCTCAGGTCATCTTCAGAGCGTACGGCAGATGACAGTTCTGCTTTATCTAGAGGCTCAGTTGCTCCCGGGCCATTCTCAGAAGGGCTTGGAAGTGTTTTGCTTTTGCTCGCAAAGAATTCAAGATCCACCAGGTGTTCTTTGTCCTTTGATCTGATTACCTGGAATGAAACAGAACGACATAAACTTGCTTCAGTGAGAACAAAACAGGGTGTTCAGTTTGACATTTCCATTGTGCTTTTACCCCTCCTCCTCCCAAAAACCCTTACTTAGATTGAAGGTCAAGATCAGATAGTTGAGTGGAGATTGGTAAATACTACCCAGATCTCCAAACAAGGCTGCCTCAGCAGCCTACATTATTCTGAGTGCTGAAATGCCTTGATTCATGGTTCTGCCCCACACCACTGGGCAAAGGCTCTCGGACCTTCCATAGCCCAACAGACTTCTGAACTCATCCTACCTATGTTCAAAATCCATTTGCAAAGTAACTTCATACCATAGAGTTATGACTTACTTCTGAGTCCCAACCCAAAACTGGAGACTGAGGTAGCGGCACAGAGTGCATTGCTTCTGATTGGTGCAGGATCTCACTCGGGAACACTCCGTCAAAAGCAGACAGAAAGCCAGGAGAGCAGGGACAGTCTCCCCCCCCCCAGCTGGTTTACTATCTTGGGGGGGGGGGTCTTCTATGCAAGTGAACACTCCAAGCTGGAACACAAATCCCAAGAGGGCCGGTTGCCGCCCTAGTCCTCTATCACGCTCCGTAGTGCGGCGGCCTAGAACGCAACCAGCATTTTGCTTTGTACTGTTTTTAACTGTTGTGTTTTAATTATTGTATGTTTTTGTCTGCATTTATGGCATTTGGAAGCCGCCCTGAGCCTGCTTTGCGTGGAGGGCGGGGTATATATTTGACAATAAACAAACAAACCAGCCCTCTGGAATTTACGAACTCCCAGGTCTAGGGCTGCCAGCTCCCGGTTGGGAAATACCTGGAGACTTTGGGGGTGGAGTCTGAGGAGGGCGGGGTTTGGGGCCCAATGCCACAGAGTCCGACTTCCAAAGTGGCCATTTTCTCCAGCTGAACTGATCTCTGTGGCCTGGAGATCAGTGGTCACCGCGGTCAGTCACCCCCTGGAGGTTGGTAACCCTACGCAGGTCTGAGTTGAGAATTAAAGGGCCGCGAAGAAAGAGAGAATGCCGCCCGGAATCCTTTTCGCCTGGGGGAAGCAGGACTGGGAACAATGCAGTTAAGCTGCACGAGCGAGAAGGGAGAGCCCGCCCCCAGAGCATGTGCAGAGTGCATTCCCCTTGCCAAGAAGACGCGGCCTTCGGGCGCTCCCACCTTGCACCGCTCCGCGTCCC